TTGCCTTTTTTAAGATATTTGCCTTTTTTGCCTTTTCTACCTTTAAAAAAGTGATTATAGCATTTACAATTTTTTTTTTTAAGATTAAAAAATATACACATGCCCATGCGGCTTATAGAACCGCAGGGACCTCTTGCCAAACTGGTGTTGGAAAAATTCAAAGCCGTTTTCTCAGCTAACGTAGGCTTAGAGACAATAAGGGGTGTGGATAAAATTGTAAAGGGCGCGGAAAACGCCCTTAATCGTGATAATATGAACGTTTCAAACGTTCCATATTTAAATTGGGCTCCACTTGTATCAATTTACGTCGAGCGCACATTTAGTACATTCAAGGCTTTTCTTCGCGAAAATCGAATGAAAATGCTGCCAGAAAACTTCAAAATGCATCTTGTGGTTCAATGTTACTACAACTATACAGATTAAAGTTTTATGAGTTAGAAACTCGAAAGGATAAAATAGTCAAAGATTCAAAGTACAAATTTTTCATATAATGAAACTAGTTCATAGTTTTTCTCTTTTTACTTGTAATATAAACATTTCTAAAAAAATATATTTTTTGATTGTTCTTCGTATTTTTTGTCTTTTTTTAGTGCCTTATTTTGCTTTTTTGCAATACCTTTTTTTTGCATTTTCCTGCCTTTTTCGCTATTTTATTTTGCCTTTTTTGCAATACCTAGTGCCTTTTCCTGCCTTTTTCGCTATTTTATTTTGCCTTTTCCAGCCTATTTCGTTACTTTATTTTGCCTTTTTTATAGGTTTTTAGGTCCTAAAAATCCGTTCCCTGCTTATATGATAAAAGCATAGTGGCTTATAGAAACCGGTTGGCGAAATAAAAAGCGTGGAATTATGTGGCGGGCGCTACAGGTTGCAGTGGTAAGTGGCGATTGAATAATCTTGTGTTTTCCAATGTTTTCAAAAATTAATCCGCAGTGGAACAGTGTCAGAGTCGGTGGAGTCACTTCGCGACCGATTTGTAAAGGAAGAAAGCGAAGAAAGGCGCCTTCTGGGAGTGCTGCAAACGACATGGTCAGTAGTGGATGGAAATATTACGAGGCACTGGCATTCCTGCAACGGCACGTGTCACCACGCAAGTTATTTATGCAACCATTGCTATCATTGAATCCACTGTAGTCAGATTTTTCATGAAATCTTCAAAAAAGCTATCACTGAATTCGGATACATATGTATGTACATACTTACATAGCTACGAACGTAGCATATACTTTGAATGCATACGTTCCTAGGAATTGATATTCAGTGATTACATTTTCGTAGTTTCACAAAAATCGGACTGCGATGGTTACAGTGATAGTCCCGAATACCTAATAGAGTATTACGGAGTTACACCGCATGATCGCCTTAAATAATAGACATATTTTGGAATTTTAAAAATGTTTTAGAAAAAAAATTTAATTCCAGCTGTCGCTAACTGTGTTGTAACACCTTAAATAGTTTTCATGTGACTACAAGGTTTTGTTTGTACATATATTATTTAAGGACATTTGGCAACGCAACGTTTGGTACCACCACAAATCGTTAAAAATGCACACCGCAGCCTGAGAATTCCATTAATGTATATGAGTCGCAACCTCTTTTCGAATATTGCGAGGATGAAGAGCCCGTATTTGAGCAGACGCAGCAGACAGGGCTAACTACAGTGGTTCACCAATCACCGCCAACGTCTCTTGTTGACTTCCAACCCGAAAAAGAGCCAATTGTGACCACTTCTAGAGCATTGAATCGGAAAAAAGATGAGGAGCGATTGGACACTCTATGTGGAGCCGTAAGTGACTGGCTGTAATTCCGATTTTTTAAATGTTCTGGATAGCTATCTTCTGAAATATGAAGAAGATGTTCAAGACAGAATGAAAATTGAAATACTGAATTTTGTTTTTAATGGCGGGCAATTTGTTGTCATGTAAAAACCTTATTTCACTTTTATTTCAATTAATTTATTTAATCATTTTAATTGAATTTGTTTTTAATGGAATACAATTTGTTGTCTTTATTTAATTTTTTATTTTAATTCTTTTTTTACATAAACTGAATAGAAAGTACAAAATGAATGTTATGAAATGAACTGATTTAAAAATTCAAAGTAATTTAGTGTTATACGTTTTGAATATACAGTGGTGGAAGAAATAATAGAAACTTTTTATTTTGACCAGTTTTGGCTATATTACTTTTGTTTATTTAATTTTTACTATTTTTTTATAAAAGCCTAGCGCATAAAAAAGGCAAATATCTTAAAAAAGGCAAAAAAAGGCAACATCAAATGTGTATATATGGAATCAGAGAAAGCTAAATCGTGGACATTCTTAATCGAATATACTCTATCTCTTTAGCAGAAAAAAAGGCAATTTCCATAAAATTCGTTCCCTGCATATAAGCAAGGGTGCATTTGCACCGCTTCTATTAATTTATACTCCGTTAAATATTTCCAAATTATGTTTTCCTTGTTTTTAAGGAATTTTATTAAGCAAACGAAAAATTAAAAGAAAATGGCGCGAATGATACTGAAATGTCAAATGTGAACATTGCCGGACCTACTTGCGTCAAAAGTTGAGTGTTGGCCAACGCTCGTGGGTTCCGTCAACGCAAGGGTTGCCAATCTGGCGCTCTCTATGCAAACACACACAGTCTACTCAACTGTCAGTTTCATCCTTGAGCGGAACGCATGTAACGTGCTCTATCTGGCAGGGCTATATGAGCCACTTAACTCATCTAGCGGTATACAATGAATCTCTCAAACAATTGCATAAAGAGAAGCAAGCAGCGTTGCCGCGAGCCTGAGAAAAAAAATATCAGTTGCCAAGCAGAAAGAGTATCAAAAGCAAACACAACTTTTATTTTTTAAACTTTTATTTGGAAAACAAATATTAAATAAAATTTTATAATTATTTTATAATTATTTTATTTTATTATTTATTATTATAATTAAATCCATAGCTATAAAAAAATTTAATATTACTTGCTTTAAGAAAAACAGAATCCTTAGTTTATTTGCATAACGGCAAACAAACTTATAGGGCCCCTAAACCACACAAAATCATTGCGCAACCCGAGACCTGTACAAGTAAATATTGTGAAAATTACTACATAATAACTGCCCAATTCTGTGATTTCTTTATAAATTATTTGTAAAGAAATTTTATAAGATTTTTATCAAGTAAAAGCTCCCATCGCATTCTGTATCAATATTTATAAAATAAAAAGCTCTACGATTTCCACAAGAGGGGAACTGATTTCCACATGAGTGGAACTGATTTCATTGTCACATATGAAAAATATGAATTTAAAAGCAAAAAATATGTTGACTGCCGAGTAGCCGAGTAGGTAGTAGGTTGGCTATAAATTTTGTGTGTAGCAAGTTCAAATGCCGGCACCTGCAGTATTTAAATGATAGAAAGAAATTGTTTAATATACAAAATTTATACGTTTCACATGAAATTTCAATTTGTCAACAGCATTTTCAATCTTGATAATTTATTAGGAAAACAGCTTTTGATTTCTGGGCTAGAATACTAATAATACAAAATTTATAAATTATAAAGTTTTTGAATTTATCAAGTGCACAGAATCGGCCTGTAAACGTTGCTCAAGTAACTATGTACATATATATATATATATATGCAAGAAATATGAACGTACGTTGTATACTTTGTAGCTTCAGCTTTAAAATGCAAAAAAAAAAAAATTTTTTTTTCTACGCCCTTATCGAAATTTTACAGCACGATCTGGATACCAAAATGTCAAAAGTAGACTAAAAATTGCGCAGTTGTCGCCATACGCAACACAAATTATTGTAAAATACCACAAGCATAAGCAAAATATCAAAATGATTTTGATTTTAGCGCAATAACTGTGCAATTTAGTAAAAACAACCCCACACACCACACAAACGACCGACGCAGGCCCGATATTGCGCAATATTTTTGTGTGGTTAGGGGCCGTATAACAGCGTGCTGTGCAAAGATATTCCGGGTTATATTTCCCTTATAAGAGCTACCAAATCAAACTTATAAACACATATAAAATTTTAAGACTTTAAATAACAAGAAAAAAATTATTTGCCTTTAAACTAGTAATATTATTCATAGTTTTCAAAAATTCATTTCTGCCAGCCAAAAGTATCAAAATGGGGCATTTGTGAACAAAAAAGTATCAAAGTATCAAATCACAAAATTTAGAAAACAAAAGTATCAAAAATGATACATTTGCATCAAAACGGCAACGCTGGTAGCAAGCCAGGCCAAGTGGAAGCGATCAGCGTATCAAGTATCAAGTTAGAAAAACTTAAATAAATAAAATAAAAAAACCTTTTTAATATACCACGCTTTTATAAATGGACTAAAAAGTAGAAAATAATATTTCTCAGTCCCATAGAATTTGTTTTGATAACTTTTGATTTTGAAATTTTAGCCAAAGTCATTATAAACAATTTATGAGATTGAAAACGAAAAACGTGGAGCTCANTATTATTCATAGTTTTCAAAAATTCATTTCTGCCAGCCAAAAGTATCAAAATGGGGCATTTGTGAACAAAAAAGTATCAAAGTATCAAATCACAAAATTTAGAAAACAAAAGTATCAAAAATGATACATTTGCATCAAAACGGCAACGCTGGTAGCAAGCCAGGCCAAGTGGAAGCGATCAGCATATCAAGTATCAAGTTAGAAAAATNTCCAATGGAAAAATAGTAGCGATTTTTTTTTGTATGGGGAGTGATGCAGTATAATGTACATACATACATACGAGCACCAATTAATTTCATTTAAAGAAATGGCTTGTCGTCCATTTCCGCTGTAGCGTACTTAGTGTATATTATTTGGCGCAATAGTTAATTACTTCCGGCAAGGCCTACCGTCGAGGTTGATTTTTAGACTTTTGTACAGGAGCTTTGATTATCATCTATAATTATAGCTAAAATGGTGTCTGGACACACAACATTGCAAGTTAATAAAAGCGTTGTAAAAAATGCTATTTGGTTTCATACTTTTGCTTTTTATTATTGTCAATAACCACGAAATCATGTAATGCACATTCATACATATGTATGTACGTACATGAAAAAAAAATATCTTAGATATAGTGAGATAAACTTTAATACAAATATATGTATTTAAAACTATTAACTATCGATCATTTACGTTGATTATCAAATTATGTGATACATTCCACGTTAAAAGGCTGGTTTTCACTATGTCATATTTTGACGCCAAATATTGTCGACTTATTTTGACACAAGTTTATCTCTTCAATCCGTACCTTCGCTGATGATATTATGGGCCAAAAATGGACATATACATTGCTGGTATAGCAGCGCATGTACACGACTGAAGACCTATCCTGATCTAAATCAATCAATATCGCGTTTTTTAATTCCATTTGACAATGTGTTTTTATTTATTTGACGACAAATGTCATTGAATTTGACATAGTGAAAACAAGGCTAAACTAGTTGGAAATTCTGTCAGAAAGATGAAACTACCTTCAGTGTCGGCTTTATTTTGACTATGAATACGCCCGCTATATTCTCAACAGTTTGTAATAAAAGTCTATTTCTCTGTCGCTTTCAAACCTATGTATGAGGCAAGCGAAATAAATTAAAAATGAATGCAGTCAGCTCATTATACATACTAGTTCGCTTAAAGCATTTTTCTTTAAGCTTATTTAACACCAAAACGTTTAATATTTTCGATCAAATTTTAAAAGCTGACACTGCATACATATGTATACATTTTCTCTTTGTAATGTATCAAAATTTGTACTACGCGGAAAATTTAAGTATCTCGCGAAATGTGCGAAAAAATAAAGTATCTTCCGAAAATTTGCACAAACACGTATCACTTTTGAAGTAAATGGATCAAAACGGCAACACTAACTAGTACACAAGCAAGCCAAGCTATTGTGAGAGAGTAACATTCTTTAATGAGAGCAGGTTTGAGTGAACAATGGGGTGATTCATTAGATGAGAGTATATTCATAAGCTGAGCTATTCACTGCCGAACTCTGATGTACACTTACATATACATACATACATACTCAGATGTGAACAGTCAATTCGTGCGTAATAAATTTTTGTATGAAAATATTATTTTTAAATACGAACATTTTTAAATTTCTTCCTACCGACTGTTGTGTTGTTTTCGGGTATGCAGTCCAATGCTTAGAAAAATGCTTTTTTTTGCCGGTTTCGATACTCATTCTTGCCTTTATGTGTGAATAAGTACATTTATATCAACAGCTTCCAGTTCTTAACGTTTATGTTTACATGTTTGAATTAATCAAAAACCAAACTAGACGCAGGGAAATGCAACAATTTTGAGCCCGACCACAATAAACGGTCGAAACGTCGGCAAAAAAATAAAAATAAGCATTGGACAGCATACCCGAAAACAACACTTGAACATTTTTAAACGATAATCAAATATAAAGTATTCATGTTTACTAGGCATTATTTCCCTCAGTGTGGCTTTTAGTTTTGAAGCAAATATAATGTAACCATGTTTTTCGTGCCCACGTTTCGATGTAGAACAGTCCGATCTGTTGTTAATTCGGGTATCGGTCTGTTGGTCTGACGGCAAGATATCTTCAATAATACAATATCGTACGAAGCGTATTATAGCATATCTATTGGTTCATCCAATACTGGCGTCCCTGATAGTGCCCTTACTGGTATCTCACGTTTCGATTGTACATCTAATGATACATCTAACGGCGCCCCTACTGGCGTCCCTAATGGTACCCTTATTACCCTTATGAGGGAGGCAGCTTGGATTATGAGCTCTGTGGATTAAGATATCATTTTTCTGGCTTACAACCGCTCGTATCATCATTACTGGAGGAATATATTGCAAAGAAATTGGAAATCTCTTAAAGGCGATCGTACCTGCTTTATAATAATTGTAGTTGACTGCTTTTTATTGCATAGTGCAATCGGAATAGATGCAATCTTAATAAGAGCTATTTTATGCATACACTTTTAAAAACCTTTGTAATTAATGTAATAGCCTGTAAAAAAAAATTTCTGTAGACTAATAAATAAATAAATAACTAAAAACATTGTTTGTGTTATAGGGAAAGGGATACTTGTTGACTCATCGTGCACTGACCAAAATTTTGGTGAATATTTTGGCTGATATTTATGTATCTCCAAATAAATGTGTAATTTTTCAAACTACAAGCAAAAATTTTTTTATATGCGCCTTCAAGAGAGTTATAAAAACGATTGCAATACTCAGAGATTTCATCGGCTTTTTAATATTCTAATTTGTAAAGCGAAACATATTTCTGAACCAATCTGTAAATACAATACTATTTGCATAAAAAAAATTAATTCATAAAAAAATTTGGAAGGGGTTGCCACCATTCCAAAAAATTTTGTATATATAAAAATAGATTGCTTTCGTCTGTTATCGCATAACTAAATAACGGTCAACGGATTTGCTTCGTTTATATTTCATTTTGTTTCTTTGTGTATGTAGAAGGTTTGTAAAGGGAAAATTAGAAAAATGGTGTTGCCAGATAGCTGAAATATCAGAAAAATAATATAAATATAAATAAGCCGCAATTATGCTATTTCACTGACACTGTATAAGAAAAACTAATTTATAAAAAAATTTGGAAAGGGTTGCCACCATACGAAAAAAAAACTTATATATATAAATGGATTGCTTTCGAATGTTATCGCATAACTCGATTGCTTCGTTTTTATTTCATTTTGCTTCTTCCTGTCTGTAAAAGGTTTGTAAAGAGAAAATTATAAAAATGGTGTTGCCAGATATCTGAAATATCAGACAAAAAATTAAGTATAAATATAAATAATCTGCAATAATGCTATTTCACTGAGAATGTACAAACAAAATTAATTCAGAAAAAACTTGGATAGGGTTGCCACCATCGGAAAAAAATTATAAATAAAAATGGATTGCTTTCGTGTGTTATCGCATTTCCTTTGTTTTCCTTCTGTCTGTAGGAGGTTCGTAAAGAAAAAGTTGGAAAAATGATGTTGCCAGATATCTGAAACATCAGAAAAATAATTTTAGTTTAAATAAACCGCAATACTGATACTTCACTGAGAATGTGAAAAAAATCTAATATAGAAAAACCAATTGGGATAGGGTTGCCACCATTCAAAAAAATGTTTATATGTGACCTGGTCTACGAAAAGGGAGC